GTCGCGGCATCGATGGAACTGTCGAGTGGGGCATGCGGAGGAGACGAGGAGAGCGAGCGAGGAGGCTCGCTGCGACAGCGAAGGCAGGCGCTGGAGAGTCAGGCGCTGATAGAAAGCGAAGCCGTGCGCGGGCCCGACGAGGGAGTCGCCGCAACCGGGCCCCGCGGCCCCGCCACAATTGGCGCGCCAAGGCACATGTCGGGCGGATCGCTCGGGCCCACGCCTGCCAAGAAGCAGACCGCGCACATGAGCGACCTCGCGCTGGGCACGCCAACATGGGCGCTCCATCAGACGCCATCACCACCGCGGGGGTCCACTTGGCCACCGCTCAGCAGCTCCTGGGGATCAGCCGTCTGCCGCGAGGCAGCGCTCGGCCGCCCGCCCTTCGGGGGCCAGGGCGCCCCTCCGCGGCGCGATGCTCGCGACGTGGGGTGCACAGGGAGCCCATTGGTTCATCCCCCTTCCATCATCCCCCCCTCCCGCCGTATCCGACGCGCCCTCCATCGCCCGCTGCTGGTTCGCCGCCTGGGCTGCGAGCTTGGCGGCAGCACGGCTCGCGCGTCTGGCGGCCGATGCCAGCCCAGCTGCCCGCGCGGAGACTGCATCTCTCCGCGAAGATGACGAGCCACTGCCGGCCACTAGGTCACCAACCCTCACGCCATCCACTGGCGCCGACGACTCGCTGACGTCGGATGGGGGCGTCGGCTCGTCGGGCCCGCGGGCGAAGGTGGTCTCCTCGCGCGGCGCCGCGGGCGCGGCCCCCGTCTGCTGGACAGCGGGTGGCGCGTCGATCTTGAGGATCTGGAGCGCGCCCTCTGTCTTCTCAGACGCACCGGTGCGCTCTTATATCGTCTCGGTCTTCTCGGTCTTCTCGGCGACCGCATCGACCTTCTCGGTGCTCTCCTCAATCGTCGCTGTCTTCTCTGTTCTCGGCCTTCTCGGTCTTGTCGGCCGCGGCCGGATCGGCAGCCTCCACGGTCTGCGTGGGCGCGTCCACCTCCGCACGGTCGGCATCCCAGAGCCTATTCCCCTCCTCGTCGGTGCCATTCAAGATTGCCTCGGCGCGCGCGAAGGCCTGGACTTCCTCAGTCTGCGCCTTCCTGGCATCTTCGGCCTTCTTGGTCGAATCCATCCTGTTCACCTCGTCCACCAGGACGCAAGCGCGGGCGCGCAGAGTGGCTTCGTAATCGCACAACTCGACGACGTTCGCGCGGAGTGTTCAGCCTGTCGAGCACGCACTCGTTCGGCAAAGGTGCCTGAGCACCATGTGCGTTATGCGCGGCTGGCGGAGCCTTGGAGGGGTCTGCGACTGGCCGCTGCCATCGGTCTGCGCGACCTTGCGGGGCCTGCTTCCACGGCGCATTGTCGTCGGGAAGCGGCCCGACATGCGGCCGACAGCGCGGGCCTGGCTGCATAGCTGGTCCGAGCTGGCTGGCGGCGGCGGCTGGTTCGGCAAGGGCGGCTGCCAATTCTCATTCCTGCTCAGACTTGCCAGATTGCGCCCGCTACCGTCGCGATGGGTAGACATGAAGCTGCCCTCGCCGAGCGGTGCGGACGGAGTATCAGGGAGCGCTCGGCGAACTGGCTTGAGCCCAAATGCATATCGATCTGAGGCTCACATCGCTGAGCTCACGCTCGCGGAGCTCACGCCCACCGAGCTCGCGCCGGCTGGGCTCGGGCTCGCGCCAGCCCGCTGCGGACCCAAGGGGGCCCTCGAGACAGCCCCAGGACGGGTCGAGCATCAGCTCTATAACGCCAGCCTCGCTGCGATCACAATGCTCGCCTACTGGGCATGCACGTCGCGCGGGTGAATCGGCTCACGCGCGGGCGGCATTGACGTGCTTGCGCTCGCGCACACACGCGCGCCAGCGTATTTTCCGCAGCGCCGAATACAAAACCAGCACAGTCGGATCGCTCGGGTCCACGCCTGCTATGAAGCAAACCGCGCACATGAGCGACCTTGCGCTGAGCACAGAATGGGTGCCCCATCAGGCGCCATCGCCACCCTGGGGGTCCACTTGGCCACCCATGGCGGACAGCGGGCGCCGCGCTCAGCAGCTCCACGAGCCCAGCCGTGGGCCACGAGGCAGCACTCGGCCGCCCGCCCTTCAGGGGCCAAGATGTACCGCCGCGGCACTATGCGCGATGAAGCGATCGCTCCCATCCGGCTCGATGCCTGGAAACTCGACGCCAGCCAGCATCGCCTGGCTGATGTAGGCCGCGAATCCCGACCAGTTGGGATCGTTCTGCCACGCGGTGAGCACGAGCCGGTGGATCAGCTCCTTCAAGCGGATCCTCTCGTTGAGGTTCTCCTCCAACATACTGTGGGTCACCGCGCTGCCCGACTCGATGTGCAACGCCTTGTGCTTCTTCTTGGCCCAGTGCTGGATGTGGCGCCCCTCGGGGAACGTCTGCGGTTCATTCTGGCGCGACGGCATCCACGAGGCGACGTTACAATCCGCGTTGAACGACCTATGGTCCAGGCCCAAGTAACGCGTGA